GCCTGAAAAAGAGTAATAAGCATTCATGAAAATCAACATTGAATAGTGAAGTATTATTATTTTAATGCTTTATGATACTGCAAAAGCAAAAATAATAGGATTCTTTTTATGTTCAGCAAACTAGAAAGATCACTATTTGCATATCATCTCATTAACCAGACACACATTTAAGTGAGATTGATCCCATCTGATATATCAGTATACAGGCTCTTTCTGAAGTCCATGGGTTGTTTCTCAGATCTTTGTGGCTTTCGTTTGTTTGTTTTTTGTTTTTGTGGTTTTTTTTTTTTTTGCTTTTTGAGTTCCATCATTTCTTGAGGTTGTTAGGCCAGAAGATTTTTTTTTCTCTTTTTTTTTTCTTTTTTTTTTTCTTTCTTCTCTCACGTATCCTTGTTTTTCACTCTTTATAAATTCTTAATTGTGATGTGAAACCACTTGTTTTTTCTTTTGTCAGGGTTCAGACTAGTCCACCATATGTTGACCCTTATTTCTTACATCTTGCAGTTTTTGCTTGTCATGTCATCCACTCCTTCCTGCTTTTTTGTTTGATTGTTTTGTTCTGTTTTGCTGTTGTTTTGATTGCTTGTTTACTTTTTTTGTGTGTATTTCTTATTGCTATGCTTTGATCTCTGTATATACATGTATATACTGCCTTAGATTGAACACAAACCATGCATTCTTTATTACAAAGCAAACTTCTCTTTCTAGTTCTTTGTCTGGCAACTATCTGGTCAGGTTATTTAGAGGTCTACAGGTCCCAGTGGCAACATAAACGTTGGGGAAGAAGATTGGATATTTCTGCATGATTTTAATATACATGTATTAGGAAAAATCTTGTGTGAGACATCAGAAGCTGTAAAGACCTTGTGAGTGACTGGACCTGAGGAATTGTGGGCATCTCCTTTTGCAGCATGTTTGACAGGCGTGCATATCATAGTTACATCTGCTAGCCCACTATCAACAGTGGGCTTTTCAGAAGCCTCAGTGAAGGTCTCAGTCTTCTTCTGTCAACTTTGTTAGGTTCCATTGACTTAGAGTGTTGTCCTGGTTGTAGGGTGACTGGATCCTGGTCTTGAGTCTCGCACAGTGGGGTGTTTTTGCAGTGTGTAACATCAGAAACATAGATGCCCTCCATTATCAGTTCTCACAGGCACAGGCTAAAGTAGGGCTGTAAGATCCCGAGAAATATGCAACCTAATTATTTAAGTTGTTTAACTGAAACAATGAAGAACTTCTATAATGGAGAACTCATAGCAGATATTGGTAGTTGCCAAAAGACCAAATAAAAGCTGCAGAAGACCTGGCGCATATTGTACAGAGAAGGATGGAAGGGCAGGGGAATGTTTAAAGACAGTGTAAACTGAACACATGATGAATGCTGTTAGTGATTAGACTTGTGTGCTTGTTTCTTCGTGACAGATGGATGTCATAAGATGATAAGCAATAAGAGAATGGATTAAATGTATATGAAGGAGGGATCTCTTGGATTTGGGCTGCTGAATAATTAGACTTTACAGTGGACTATTTGGTCATTAAAGAAGTCTCACAGTTTACCTAGCACACTAATGCACGTGAAGAAACTTGTCTGAAAAAAATGTTGTAGAACAAAATTTTCTCGATAGTTAAAGTGGAAGGAAAATTAGAAAGAGACTCTGGAACAATCAGCTGGTGGGTGGACCACAGCACTAACATTTGGGATTTTTTGGAGGCCATGTCTGTACACAAAACTAACCAAAGCCAAGGCATGAGTCTCAGAACTGACCTGTGATTGTCTTTATTTTCTGAAAGTTAAATTGTTCAGCAGCATGGTTCTTTATCATATTTTGTTATGTTTTGAAGAAAGAAACCTGGACATAGTTTGGACAAGGATGTTGAGGAGGTCTAGAAAAAGTAACCTGTTTGGAGCAGGGAAGAAAATATTAGCAATACAGTCATACATCATTCCATATCACTTGACCTTAAACCTGGTGAACAAATCCTGAGCCTGTTTTCTCTGCTGGAGTAGGAATAGCCTCAGGTATCTTGAGATCCAGAGGCCCCTGGAAGGTAATTACAGTAAAATAAAGTGGCTAGGGGGTTTGGTGAAATGCATATCTGGAGGGACCAAGCAACACCTGGGAAACAATTTGATGTTAAAAGCAGCAGCTGATCCTCATCTAGTAAAGCTGATGTAACTAAAACAAATACTTATTTCTTATGGGAGATGAGGATTTGACCTCCAATGTTTTTATGTTCTCCTTATTGTCTTAAAGTTTACTCCCTCACCTTCTTCAAGCATTGTAATTGAAAACTATACATATTTGGAAAATGTTCCTGTAGACCTTACTCATCAGAACAATTTGTCCTGACTTCAATGGGATTGTTCATGTGAGTAAGAACTGGAGTAAATGTGCGCTTTGAAACAGTTCTGTATCTCTCTAATCTTGTTTTGTCAAATGTTGTTTGATGAAGCTTAGAAGTTACTTTAGCAGTTATATATGGGAAGAAAACATTTTAAAGAGAAGACTGACTGTTCCCTTTTGGCTGTGATTTATCAGCATACTAAAATATGCGTGTTTGTGAAATGGAATCTTTTCATCCACTGCCCTCTAATTTGCCGTCTTTTGTTGCATCTGTGTACTTGCTTACTTGATAACTCCTGTTATGAGTATTTTTGAAAGCCTGTAAAAAAAATAATCAGTACTTTAAAGCCAAGAATTTACATTAAAAAAAAAAAAAAAACAACAACAAAAAAAAACCACAAAACTGTTGTATAAAAGCCTGTTTTAAATAGATAATAGCAAAGTAATGAGTCAGGGAACAGTTACTTAAGTAGCTAGAGACTTGTTATCTAACATCAGAAGAAACTCTCATTTGGGAAAATAATTGTTTTTGTGCTCATACAAGATTTAGAATTTATATCTGAATTGTTAATAATAACAAATGTATGTTCCTTATCACTTACAATACTGTTTAGGCTTTTAATTACAACAGCATATATATTGGCTTCTGCTTTTTAGCAATATCTTTCATGACATTTGAACCAGTGTGCTCAAGGTGAAGAACTGAGGTGCTGTACTATAGAAGCCATATCAATGAATCTGTATCTAGAAAACATGTACGAATCCCCACTAGCACATAATGCATTTGTTGAACCATGATTTAAATCCCATAGAAGTAAATGTAAAGGCATCAATAAGCAGAGAGAATTTCTGTAGATTATATCACTTTCCATGTTACCATGCAAACTTCTATGAAACTTCCTGAACCTCTGGACCAGCAGTTTTCTTGAACCAAATGCCTGTATCATGGAAACAGAAACTGATCTTTCATTTTTGAGTGTGTATCTTTGCACATTTGCCTGTCATTCCTTGCTTTGCAGATTGCTAAGTTTACCAGAAGTGCCACAGCTGCTTAGAAAACAATAGATAAAACTGGGGATAAAATAAAGATGGTTATGCACAGTATCCAGTAAGTACAGCAGTGATTCTGTCCACTGTAGGAATGCTAGGCAGAGCTGCAGTTAGAAACAATCCACTGAAAGCAAAAAGGTATATTTTATTTTTTAGTTTTCCTGAAAAATTTATCAAAGATAAAAACAAACAAATAAAAACAGTGATTAAAAAAAAACTCTTTGGAACTTAGAATGTAACTTTCAATGACAGGCATGTAGCTGATAGCAAATATCAATTGTAACTGAATATTAAAATCCCAGCTGTGATAAATAGGGTTTCTTTGCTTCATTAAATAATCTAGTTACTATTTTTCACTATATTATTTACTACTGAAGGGGTTAAAATCATTAAATGATGCTATACTCTTAAGCAGCAGCATGCAACAGGAGGATGGTAGCTATCTGTGAATACGTTAGTGTGAGGTGTAGAAAATACTACAGGTTACTCACTCACCTTAGGTAATGCAGAAACTTCCATGATTCATTTTAAATCTACATAGGTTAAGTTTCAAAGCTATAGATACACACCTCTAGGTATTCAAGTATATATACATCTGCCTTAAAACATAAATACCATGAAAAATAATAGACATGAGCATAAGTAAGCATAAAATTACCCTCAATTCTTTGCTGGAACTGACCTTAAAGACTATGGGGTGAAATAACACAAAAAAAAAACTGATAGAACTCGTGAATGGGTACATATATAGGTAAAAGTGTATCTAAAACTACTCACTAATCCAAAGAACTGCTATAGTAGCCCACATTTTAAATAATGGGTAGACTAAATATTTCATGTCAGTAATTAGTATGAATATTATTTATATACAAAATATTTAGGATATATATAACTAAATATACTTTCAAGCTTTCAAAAGGAAGTAAGAGGCTCAGCAAAGTCATCTTTTGAAAAAGACTTCAATTTTTCTTCACCTGAGAATTTTTAATTTTTGTCAAGAATAACAAATCAAAACAAGTTATTGCTTTTATTATTGTTTTCTTCTAGTAGTGGAAAATATTTTACATATCTGGACTGTGAAGTTAGAAGAGGGTGCTAAAATGAAGGGAATGTTTTTTATATTTTTAATCCAATAAAAGATTTTGGGCCCGGTTTATTTGCCCACACATGGGTATCTCATGTCATCTGCGATCCTGGGAAGTCTTTCTCCTGGCTTCCAGGTACTGTTCCATAAAGGTGTTCCTGTGTACTAGTGCTGACTCAATTTTTTTATGGGTTTATAGCTGTTCCAGAGGACAGGATTTCTTATGGTGCTGAGCATATGGGACGTGATTTTGTTTGCAGTAAGCAAACTGGATTTCATCACTTGCCTATAACTCAAGGCCAGATTCTTGTTTTAAATGTTCAAATGTTTAAATGTTCAACCAGTGCTATCCTGATCTACTTCATTAGTCATATATAAAGAAGCTTCTTTAACATTTGCAGACTGTAGTTAAGGGAAGAATACAGCTCCTGTCTTTCACATTATTTATTTATTTATTTATTTATTTATTTTTACTCCCAAGTTTTTCCAATGCTTTGTTCCTTTTTTATTTTTTTTTAATTTAGGTTGGTTGTTACTTGAAGACCCCTAAATATCCAATTTGGTTGGTGTGCAGTGAAAGCCACTTCAGTGTGCTTTTTTGTTTGGAAAAGGATTTACTAAGTGACTGGAAAACAGAACGGAGATTTGATCTATATTATTATGATGGCTTGGCCAACCAGGAAGAGGAAATACGGTTAACAGTTGGTATGTACAACACAGTAACTCCACATTTCACCTCTGATGGTGGCAACAACATCACATTAAAAAGAAGAATCCAGTAGTACAAACAAAGTTGAGCAAATTTATGATGGTCTCAGGCATTAAAAATATTATTTGTGGGCCTGCTTTCTACTTTGTATAATTATTTTTGATGACTAATTTGAAATTAGAGTTCACAATGTAATTTTGAGAACAAGCTCTTGAAAGGGTTAAAAGTGAGCATATTCTCACTGATACAGATTACTAAATCTTTCAGTGACACTGGTTTCCAAGGAGCAGATTGTGATCTGACCTGTTCATACTTCCAAAGCTATAAACCATATTTAACTACTCCCATTCTCTCTCACATTTCCGCAGCGAATCACATATTTTCTACAGGTAGCAAGTACAAGTCTCCTGATCCTGAGCCTTACATGCATGTGGTAAAGTGAGCAGAGAAGGTGAGGAAGCATGAAATCCTTGCCCCCAAACCAAGTTGCTTCAGAAGATGGCAGTAATTTGCCAACAAAGACTAATCTCTTACCTGCCTGTAAGCATACCTAGGAGCACAAGCATGTGACAGATCTGACTTGTTAAGCTCGTTCTTTCAGGAAACCATGTCAAATTATGGAGCTCCTTTTACAGAAATGTTTCTTGAACTGGAAGACAATTGGACAAGCAGTATTCTGAATCTTAGAAGCTCCTACTCGTTTCCATATTAAGATATTCTTGACCACTAAATTCATATTTGGTAATAATATCCTCCTTATCTTTTGTTTTCTTTCCTCTAATATAGTTATACAATCTAATGGAATTCCTTCTCCATCTTAAGGAGCCATGCTATTGTAGTCCTCCCTTTAAAAATAAGCTGTTGGTGTTCCTTGTTTGCGTCTACATTCTGATTCTTGGACAGGATGAATTATACATGGGTGTTGTATGTTCTAATTAAGGCCATGTGGCAAAGCTGCTAGTGTGATGTGAGTGTTGGAGGCCTTTTGCCATCTCACAAGATTTAGTAATGAATGTAATAGTCTTTCTCCCTATTATTTATCCTCTTATTTTAATTAAATTCCATGACATTCTATGGCAGTGATCACATTATATATTATCTCAAGAAATTGTTCAACCTCCACAAAATATAGTTGCCAACTGGTTCCCACACAGTGTGTTCCAGATACAAGATTTATTAAAACAGATTGTACAAAAAATAATAATAATAAAAAATCACTATATCTTCACCTGGAGACAATATATTGTAAATAGGAACACGGTACAATCAAAACAATAATAATTACCAAAAACCCACCACTTTTTTCATAGTCTCATAGTTTTTTGAAGCATGCCTATTAAAGTGAACTTTTTACATGATTTATTTGGCAATTATATATTGTCATTATGAGAAAAACGATCTTGTTAGAAGTTCTGTGCTTTGGAGGTGTCTGTAGTCTTACTAGTGTCTGATGATTCAAGAGAATTGCCACGTACTCATGACTAAGTAAAGAGGGAGTCTTCCCTAAGGTAAGGGGATTCTTTGCAAGTGACATGGATGATATAGTTCTCCATAGGACTGTGGAGACTGAGACACAATCGTTATATTCTGTTGCATTGTATAACCTGTGGTTCTTTTCTGTCTTTCCCTAATTAATAAATCAGGGATATTTCTGTAATCCAGTTGTACCCATCATTCTGTGATCCCCGGATGAGAAAGTGCTTAGAGTTTGTATATATTTTTCTATTCATTATTCAACCTGTTGTGGCTTAACTGTGTATTTTTTTCTCAAAGATTAAACTTGCATTGAGAGGTAGCTATTTTTTGTTGTGGCTAAAGCCTCTTGCAGGGATGTGTCCTGGTAAATCTTTTGTTATCTATGACATTCTGCAAAAGGCTGTAAAATGCAAACAATTTCTTCATTCCAGGGAAATGCTTTCTTATTTCTTGCTTACTTCTTGATTATTGTACAATAATCCCTTATTAGATCTGGAGAAAAACTGAGATTACTTTACATCTTAAAGGTGCCATTGGTCATAAATCTAAACTGTGCATATAGTATCAGATAGAAATACCACAATGCCAAGTATGATTGGTATTTCCATCATGGAAGCTAAGATAATCAGGCAGAGGGGTAGTATGAAGTCCTGGCTGATGCACAACCACTGGTGCTGGTTAGCAAGGTCATTTGCTTTTCACTGACAAAAAGGGGAATTCCTCAAAGTGTAGATATTGTTTAGAATTACGAAGATTACAATCAAGGTAACATTTCAAGAAATCTTGAAGAAATTATATTAGGCGAGTAAAAGCAAAAACAAGGTAAGGGCAGAATTAGATTTTTGTAGGTAATAGCAATTGCTGCTTTGTATTAAGTCATCATCAAAACTATGTGGGATTGAGACGTTGTCCCATTTCTTGTACTCATAACCATTTGCCAAAACATAGTCAAGAAATGTGATGTTCTATTCTAAAATAGGCAACATCTGCTGGTGAGTGCAACATGCTGTCCTAAATAAAAGATCATCAGTCCTTCTTTCCCTTTTGGTAGAAATTTCTAATAGGCAGAGAAGGAAAACTAGCCAGTGTATCTAAATTAATCACTTTCTGCATTTTGCTCATGTGCTTTTGTGTTTAAGGACTCAGTAGAGATTCTGGGATGTTTGTTACAGGTCACATAGCATGTTTGTATACTCTGCTTAGAGAAATAGTACTCTTTTCTAATATATACAGTTAATACCTACCTATGTTAACATTTACATTATGTTGTCTCCAAGTGAAGATACAATGAATTTTTATACAATCTGCTTTAATAAATCTTCTTATATCTCATTGGAGCATACTTTGAACTCACTGTACTTTCGAAGGTATTTTCAAAATGCAGCTGAATAATTGCTAAGAAAAATATAACTGGATTTCTTCAAAGATTCTTCCAGAGCCATAGCCACCATTTTCAGCCCTTCAACCAGATCATCAGACAAGAGATAGTCAGGTACTCTCCCTGACATGTAAAAGCTAGAAATATCTGACACTGGCAGAAGTGAATATAAGAGAATGTAAGAGCATTCTGTCTACATCAGTCTCTCTTAATCAGATGCATATCCTGTACCCGGCCTTGGCATTGCTAGATGCTCACAACCTTCCCATGGACTGGATGACAGATAGAGAAGGGAAAAAAAAAAAACAAAAAACACTAGTCTGCTGCTAGTTTAAAATGTTTTACTACAAAACAGGAAACAGCTGAGTAGACTGACATCCAAGCTAGTCACAGGATGTTTTCTCCCTGGGAAATTCAGCAGCTACTTTCACTGTTGACAGATCCTGTGTCTGAGACACTGACCTCTCTGTTTTCCCCGGAACACTGCAATTGCCCTCCATCCCAAAGGAATGCTCAGAACCTGTGGTAGTTCTCTTATATCCAACACAACACTGTCTTCACAGAATCAGAGAATGGTTTGGGTTGGACGGGACCTTAAAGTCCATCCAGTCCCAACCCCCTGCCATGGTCAGGGATACCTCCCACCACATCAGGCCACCCAAAGCCCCATTCAGCCTGGCCTTGAACACCTCCAGGGATGGGGCAGCCATAGCTCCACTGGGCATTATGTTCTTTCATCTTCTAGTCCATGTTTTCCTTGAGACCATCTCTATATTGATAAACTAACTGGGGTCAGATCATGGGTCTGAACATTGTCCCATGATTATCCTTACCATTAAGTAGTCAGCACAGTTCTGGACAAGTTTCTGGCCCAAACCAACAAGCGCTGGGCAAAATCTGGGGACCATTCCCAACAGCAAGTTTGCATTCAGTCACCCCCTTTCAGCCTTTAGGCCACCATCACATGAACAGGCAATAGATCATGAGCTAAAAGTCTGTGCTGTTACATCCATGGGTGGACTTCCTAGAAGCCACTGCAGTGCAGAAATAAATAGACTTGTACTCCAGTCACTAATCATGTATGCTATGTCTCTGCAGACACAACTCAGATGTTCACTGAAGATAAAGAAAATGATCTTATTCCTCCACTTGAGCACTGCATTAGAACAAAGTAAGTGAAAACTACATTTTTTTCATAGATATTTTCACTCATTGATATAAATAATATATGTAAGGATGGTGTGTGGTTAAAAGGAAATATTACAGCAGTCAATCTTGTGAAGTTACTGGTTAAAAATCAGAAAATATCACTTTTTTTGCATGTTATTGCAGTTAACATCAAACTGTCTGAGACATTCGTTTGGCTGTTAGAGGAACTTTCATTTCATCTCCAAGTAATGACTGAACCGAAGGTAGTTTAAGAGCTCAACTTGATGTCAATAGATCAAAATTTGATTTCCTAAAAGTGATTGGTTCCTATTGTAGAGGTATAATGAGAAAAGGAGAAAATATCTTCCATCTTCATCAGTCTTTTCTGAAAAATATAATTGCACTGGGGCATTTGTACATTTTTGATTCATGAAGCTGTGCGTAATGGTCTTAGTTCTCTCAAACTGTCCATTTGTCCATGGCAGACTTTCTCAAAATCACAAATTGGAGTGCTTTTCAAGTCATTCTTGATGGTTCTTAGGTTATATTTTCTTTTTAAATTCAGGGCCAGTTACTGTCATGTTAGGAATTTCATGACCATTTTAAGGTCTGTATGATATTAAATGATGGATTTTTAAAGAATTTGTCTAAGTCATACTAAAGAACATTTTCAGTTTACTGAGATAAGAAATGAAGCAAAATAGCGAACTTTCACTGTACCAGCTTTATATCAACTTCCACCAGCAGGACTTTGAAAGCTGTTATGTGAGTGTCTTTGGAGCAAGAAGTAAAAGCCTCATTGTTAATTCTCATAAAAGCCAAGCAGCTTCATATTTCTCTAGTAATTTCTCTCCTCTCTCTGGCACATTTTTCTGTTAATAATAATACATATAAAAAACAAACAAACAAACAAACAAAAAGCTACAACAAGAAGAATCAATCAAACAAACAAAAAGAGAGAAACAAATAAGGACAGTGACTGCCAAACAGCATGTTCATGGAGAGCTGCGATTATAAAGTTACAGAAAAGTAGAAAAGGTATCCTGTGACATGACAGCGGTGACATTAGTTCAGGCTCCATACACATAGATTGAATTGATAGATTGCTCTCAGACACAAGGTGAAACACAAGCATTACTACAAAGATAATGCATAGCTGATGCTTTGGGGTGAATAATGCATGCAACTATTTAAAGTTACTCTTAGAACATTCCTGGCATTGCATCAAAGTTGCACACAGTTTTGGTAATGGTGATATTTGTTTATTTTAAATTCCGTGCTCTAATCTGTTAGAGAAGTAAATTATCAGGAAATTCCAGTGTCAGCTAATTTTGTTTGTACCGTTCCTAGGACTGCCTGATTTACCCTGATCAGTCTGTCTCCCTGTTTTCAGTATTCTCCACTTGCTTTTTGTTTTTCATGTTATATTTTATGTTTTTGTTTTAAGAACTTTTCTTTCAACTATGAAACAATATATAAGGAAAAGTAAAAACAAATCAAACTAACCAACATTTTACCAAACTGACAGAGAGAAAAGCAATATTTTCTATCATAAAACTATGGAAAATAACAATAAAATATTTTTATTAAAGCAAGCAAAACAAACAGAGACATTATTCCTTTTGACCAAGCATTCATAATGAAGCTCATTTTTAAACTTATCTCATCAAAAAATGTAGGATAATTTCTCAGCATGGAGAATTTCACAGTCTGTACAATCAGAACTGAAATTAAACATTGTTTCCAAATTTTGATTGGGATTTTTCTTTCACCAATTAGTTCTATTTCAATCCATGAAAAGTTTTACCACTTGTTTACCCCATACCTGAACACCACCATCCTGTAGTGCATTGATTTATATGCCTAACACCTGTCAGCTCTTTGTTCTCTTATCCTCTCCCAATGGAAGAACTGTATATTTAAAAGATTGTTTCTATATTTAGTTTTTTTCATTATGATTATTATCAGAGGAGAAGAGTTGTTTTGCTTCTACAGAAGGAGGAGGCTCATATTTTTATTACCTATTATACACAATGTTGGAAAAGAGAGATTTGAGTTTAAAGCAGGTAACACTTCACATGGCTAAAACAACTAGTCACCAACAGATATTGCTTCAACCTGCAGGCTTGCAGCTAAAGAGTCAGTGCTATTAAATGAACTTTTATTGTAGTTTTCATCCCTAGACATCTGTGGAAGTAGACAGATTCTGACCAAGAGATGTCTGGAATGTGCATCCCTGGGTTGTTTGGGAGATGCCATGCAGATGTCTGGTTCCGTTCTCCCCTGAATACTCTTATATCACAGTCACGATCCTCAGCGGCTGTCTGCACTGGCGGAAATAACATCTGTTAGCTCTGCTTGAGGGGAATAAAACTTTGATCTGATATTATAATCCAAATCCAGCAATGCATTTTGTTAACCCTCTAGTGACAGCTTTCTTTTGTGGTACACATAGTTGATTTGTATTCCTTCAAAGTGAGACATTTGGTAGAAATTTGATAGAGAAGAAGAGAGCAAGAGTATTTCACCATAAATGACTGGTATACTCTAAAACGGTGCCAAATGATTAGTATAGGAGATATTCTCTGAATGTTATTCCAGGCTGAGCATTGTTCAGGGTTTGAACCAGTTCCTCTTACATTCAATGGATGTATTCCCGTTATCTTCCATGACCCTTGGATGAGGTTGTAGTCAAACCAAATTAGTGTTGTTTTCACATTGCTAATTTGATAAATTATAATTGAATCAGCAGCTAGAATGTGGGTTCCACTTGAATTACATTCTAGCAGGACAGTTTGGGGAAATGATGGCACTGCATTGTCTGGTTCATTTTGTTTTAGTCTATAAAGAAATGACTTGTTCAGCACCTGTGAATGAGCATTATTTGACACCTTTTCTTGTGCAGATTCAATAGATGAAAAAGTTTCAAAGTCCTCTCCAAAAGGACTGAGCAAACTGGCAAGGGCTGCTTTTCAGTTCACAAACAGCCCAAGAAAAATAGTTGGAAAATAAATACAGAAGATAAGGCTTGTTATGAAAGTTACCTTGAGTCCTGCTTCAGAATATGTTTTGCTGTTTAAACTCCTTATTGAAAGCCTATTTTAAAAATGTCCAGTTCTTCACTGCATAGAGATTAGCAATATCTTAAGCCGTAACAGCAAAAATGGTATCAGCACTTGTTAATATTTTCACAGAGTGCAGTGTGTCCTCACAGCAGGTTGCATTCAGCATCATTTGGCCCCTGCAAATCCCTCTCAAAACTTTAATCATTCTGGTGAGATGGAAGGTGTTGCCTTGGAAAGACTGTACACAAAGATAAAGGATGATTTGGTGGCATTACCAGAAAAATACAGCGGGCAATTGCACTTCCCACTTACCTTTACTTATTCATTGGGAAAAGGTGATATTCTGAAACTCTGGCAGAAACAACTTTCTGCACTGGCAGATGCCAAACTGTGTCAACTGTTCCCAATCAATTATTAGCTTAAATGTGAGGCATCGCTGTTGCCTATTACTACTAAATCCAGTCTTCATTCTGCATTTTTTTTCATCTTCTCAGCAAGTTCAAAAAAAAAAAAAAAAAGGAAGGAAAGAAAGAAAAATTTCACAGCAGTCCAATTTTCAATGTCAGTTTACTTGCACTTTCACTGGGGTTAATTGTGTACTGAAAAAAAAATCCCTCAGGTGGTCACTTTCTTTGAGACCTTGAGCTGAATACTACATGGATTCAGCTCTTGGTTTTGTTTTACAATTAATTGACTTGACAAATGAAAGGACTGAGCTGTCATACCCTTGCTGACATATCCTTTCCTCTGTGACAAAAAGAATGTGTCTTGCAGACTGTCAAGTCATTGTTGTCCCCATCCCCTCACCCATGTCTTACCACTCTGCTTCTGCTCTTTGAGACAGATTTTTTAACCAGATCATATCTTGGACATCATATATTGGACACTTGGACCAGGTCATATATTGGACATTGGGAATGCAGTAGTTTAGTTCTCATATATAGATCATGAATTTGTAAATATGAGAAGTGCCAAGGGTGCTATTCATGTAATAACTCACTTCAATTTAGTGCTGTCATTGGAGAGACTTATCCTGGTTTCACTAGTTCACCTCTTGGTTCACCCCTTTGTATTCTGCCCTGCTTTGAAGACACATTTAGTGACAAATTCAGGACTGGTACCTTCTTAGCACTCACTGTACTGGTCACATTCCTGGAGTGGACAGCTGAACAGTAGCAGCCAATACAAAGCCAGTAACTTAAAAGATTGAAGATTTTTTGTGCGTATGCCTGTGGGCTTATTTGAAAACATTGTTCTCAGTATACATCTTTAGTGGTATTCTGATGAAATGATGAGACGGAGAAAAAGCAAAGGATCTTCACATTAATATCAAAACATTACCATCAGAGCAAGCCACAGAATATTTCAAAGGAACCAAGGACAGGAGCAATGATAGCTGATAAATGAAATTATCTTGTCTTGGGATTTTACAGTCACACAGCTCCTAATCAGAAACTTGGCTGTATAGGAATGTGCAAATTGCCTTGTAACAGCTTAGAGACTGATCATTCTGGTTATACACGGTCAATTCTTGTACCCAATCCTGGGGACTGCCTAAAGTCTTTGCCAAACCAAGGTTCTAATTCTGAATCAGCTGCTGCTGAGTTCTCTTTGTTGGGCACCTAAAATTAGGGGGCACATTTCCCTTTCTTTCCCTTGGAGAAGATGTCATTACCCCAAGTGAGTCTATCCTAAACTCTCTAAGGTTGGGTGGGTGGTTGAGAGGTGTTGGCTTACCTTTCCAATGCCCTGATTAAATTACAGGTGTAAAATATTGCTTTTATTCCTAGGTGGCAAGGAGCTGTTATTGACTGGAATGGCACAGAACCAATCTTGTGACTGACCTGACCCGCACTTTATTTGTAAAGAGAAAAAAGGGAAATGACAGAACTAGCACATTCCTATTCCCACCAATACAGGAAATAGGACAAGAGTTATGCTGTTTATGATGAGGAAGAATGACATGGTTGTGTGCAGGCTGGAAGAGTTTCACCTCATTCACCTCATGCTTCGGATATTTTGCTTATAATATAAACGACACTTACATAAATTCTTTGAGACTGATTATAACATACAGTTTCTGAGCGTTGACTGAGTTTCCCATGCCAAATGATGGTTACAGACGAAGCAGTGAAGTTGTCAATGTCCCCTTGAGGTCTCTTTCTGGATCTACTCTGTATCCTGCAATTGTTTCCAAAAATCTGATGAAAGAAGCTGAATCCATTTCTGTCACTGTACCTGCTTTCTCTGTGTTGCCTAATTATTCACCTACAACACTACAGCGCAAGTATAAAATGTCATCCAAGAAATATATATATTCACCTTGTTACCTTATATTAATAAGTCTCATTTTGCACTGAATGTATTGGTGATCACATGGACTTCTCAGATAGAGCCAGACCTACACAAAGTTCTTGTGTTCTAAAATTTGCAGTAAAGCTTCAGTTTTCTGTTAACAGAACATACTGGTATGTTCCTTGTTCTGGGTGAAATTCTGTGGTGCACAGTGCCTCACACTGATGTAGTTCATTTCCTTTCTGGATGGGAGAAAGATGTTTAAATATCTTTTATATCAGTGTAACTGCTTATACTCTAGGTTTTATTTACACTGAAGTGCTAGATAAAATTTGTGGTTTGCTTCTTCATTATTACAAGAAAACAGAAATGCTGTTAGGTTTGCGATGTAAAGAGTGATAGAGGATCTGTGATAGATACTGTTTTTTGTGATTAAATAAAATGCATGTGTGAAAATGGTGTACTGTGGAGATGTACCGTAAGGTACTAAAAGAACAGTTTGTATTATGAAATGAATTCTTTATTTTGGCAACATTTTACTAAAATTGGAACAAGCTACTGAAGACTAGAAAAAATGCTTTTGAAAAAAATATTTGCCAGCAGAAAAGCTGCAGGTAAATGGTGTTTCTGGAATGATTTGTCTCACTTAAAAGTAAGTATTTCATGAGAGTTTAATACAAGACTTTTACTTGCTGATATTTATCATAGCACCTTCCTGGTCACTATGAAAACTTTGAGTCCAGATAAACTAGGTGCTATTTTCAAAATCAATTTCTAACAAAAATTAAATATCCTACTGTGTGTAGCCTAGAGATATAAAACAGTCTGTGCAAATACAAATTTTAGGGAATTAGCACTTGATATAGATTTGGAAACTGACTTGAGTATAAACCATAACATACTACCAGAAAAGTTTAGTCTGTGAATGTACATCTGTCTCCCCCTTTGCTTCTCATTTACATCAAGATATCTATGTGCAGTAAAGCATATCAGAGTTGCAGTTATTTCAATTTTATTTGTTTCAGTGTAATTTGTTTTAGATCAGATAGGCAAACTTCCTTCTTTACACTTTGTGAGATGAAGATCTCCCATTCAGCCTTGAAGCCATAGACAGCATCAGATTCCTTACTCAGAGCCCATTCCTGACTCTCCTACAGGAATATTACATTGCCCCCTTCATCTCAGTGTATTTAGGGATATGTTTGTACTGTCAGCTGTAGGTGGACTAAAGACTGCCTTTAGGATGCATTCATCTAAACTTCAAGCACACCAGTTCCTTGGTAAGACATTGCCTCAGTGAGCTTCAGTATTTCTAGGAGTTGGAGATCCCAAATGTTCAAGGATCCCAGATCCAGGCGATTCAATAATACAGCTTGAAAAATCACAGACATAACGTTGGCTGAGTGTGTTGTCAGGCGGTCTACCAGCCTGCATAAAACCTTTGCTCTTTTATTTATTTATTATTTTTTATGATCTATAGTCCACACTTTGTTTCATGGTATGAATATAGTCTGATTTTCCCAGCTGCCTCACAGGGCAGCTATAACATAAGACTTTTCACAGAATGCATTTGGACAGAAAATAGTGTAGAGATGAAAATTCCTTTCTGAATTTTTCAATTTATTAAACCTACACCGTTTGCTTTAAAAGCACTGCTTTAAACTATGTCAGTTTGGAGGAGATGACTTTCCACTCCCAGATGGAAGAGCAGTGAACATAAGTGTTCCCCTGGGGAGGAAGAGAGCTGCCTTTTTACAGCCCTGATTTCATCTGATTAAAATATGGATGTCTCCAGTGCAGATGTGCTTGGAGGAGCTGTTTCTCTGGGCTACCTTTAGAGTTGAAACAGATAGTAAGATGTGATATATCTTTGCTTTTGGGCAAGAAGAATTATGATCCAGACTATAGGATTATAAACTGAGTATAGCTGGAGCCTAAGGGGATAGCCTTGGATCAACTTCACCCTTAAAGATGTAAGGATTTTTCAGGACATAACAAAGAGTTCAAGATTAATAAATAGGCATGGAAATGGATTATATATTTTTTTTTTCTTATTTTGAAGCATAAATGAAGATCAGAGGGAGCCCTGAGCTCTGTTTCTCTTTTTAAATCAGTCTGCAAAGACTTTTGAGGCTCCATCCTCACTGGTTATGGATAATAATTTTGTTGAATATTAATTTCTATTCCAGCAGAATCCCAGTGAGCCAGATCTTTCATATTCATTATCTGTAATTAAGTCCCCATATATTTGTTATGCAAAGTCCACTGTCTGCCATCTGTTTAAGATGGTCTAACTCAAGATTCACCTGTGCCCTCACTCACAAAGGCAGAAATAAAACACTTGGACCAAAACTACCACCGCTGTAGGGTAATTCCACCAAGCTTGAGCACAGAATTGCTAAGCCCCTTCCACCATCTTTGCTCCTGGAGCCTACAGGCAGTACCTGCCTTCTCCAGGGCTCAACGATGCTGCCCTTACTAGGCAAGAGAGATGGCTCTTGAGATTTACTAAGGCATCTTTCAGTAAAGAGGAAATGTGTAACAAAATTACTCGTGTAGAGCTACCTCTTCTGCAGAAACAATCAAATCAACCAACCCTAAAACTAAAACAAAACAAAAAACCAACCAACAAACCAAAACACATTAAAAAAAAAAAAAAAAGAATGAAAAAAAAGAAACCTGAGTATTGCCTCTCTCACTTTCTGCATCAAGACTTATATATTTCAATTTGATAGCAAAACACAGGAGGTTATTTAAGATATCACAGAGCTTTTTCAATCAAATGATCAGGCAAGACGATACAAAATGTCATATGGCAATACAAAAACCTTTGTACAGACCTGTGCGAATTCATATCCTGTTGTAGCAGTTTACATCTAGTTTTTTTAATTACTTTTTCCTTTTCATTGTTTCCCATTTTCTTTTTCATTGCCTGATAAACGTGACTTCCTGAAGTGAACAAAGCAAGGAGTTGCTAATTGTACATTAAAAGACACTGGCACTTGGCCTCTATGTATATCTTAAATTCATTCTCTTTCCTTCTGTGATATAAAAAATGCACCCTCTGCTGAAATGTGATGCCTTAGCTAACAACAGAGATGGCATATTGTATATGCAGAATGTCTAATCAGAAGTGCTATTTTGGTAAGGTGTCATATATATCGCATTTGTGCAAAATGTATATTTAATTTTGTCTTGTACAGAATGTCTCATACAAATAAAACATTTAAAGCAAAGATAATAGTAACATCCCAGATTTCCTCTGCATGTTTTTTAATAATTCATTTGCTAGTGGAAATTAATCTGAGAGATTAGATTATGAATGTTTCATGGGCCTCATCATGTCAGTGGAATAATAACAAGATGTTAAGCTTCCCTCTTTCTGAGCAGAACTGTAGCACAGTTGGTGCAGCAGGATGGAGTAACCCTTCCTCAGCTCACAGGATTCACACCTAGGCAGCTACTTAGTGCTTAAACTAACTAGTGTGAAGCTAATTTATAGCACGAGGTACTATCTGCCTCCGTGAATACGTCCACCATCTTCTGTTTGAAACCTACCCAATGCTGAGAATGGAAACTACAAAGATCTCATTACTCCTCATGGCTTTTTATCATCTCAGTCTCAGATAAATCACATCATCCTGATCAAAATCAGGAGAGGTGTAGACAAGTAAGAGTTGTATGGGGAGGTTTGTGACAGTGTGGGTATGTGCAGACACTGAGTAGGTTTCTTGTATGTATGCAGGTCTACATTAGACTAGAAAAAGTATTTCATTATTATGATCATATGTTTATTATCACGAACGAATCTCTATTATCACTGTGGTTTGTTCCAGGTAGCGCAAAAATGGTAACTTGAGTCTGCTGGTTTTAGTTCTTCACTTTTCTGAGGCAGATTTCTTTTTGTTGTTAATATATCTAATGGACTAATATATAATGACAGGAAATAGTCACTTTAGAAATCAGAAGAAAGCTGAAGAGCTTGGAAAAATGACACAGCCTTAAGCCAAGTTTAGTTAGAAGTGATAAGCGAGGGGCTCTAAAGATTCAGTTGCTGCACCTGAGATACTTGAAGGAAGCCCAGTTTTCTGGCTGTGATTGGGATCTTCTTTAAAGTACAAGGGCCCCAAATCACTGATTGATTCAGAAATTGCTGGATACATTTTTTTAAGGAAGTAAAACAGTTCTTCACAGCACCTATATGATTTGGGGTATGATTATGGAAACAATTTCACACAAAATATAGGTATACAAATTTGCTGGTAAGTCTGTGTAATTTTCCTGCCCTAGGGTAAGTTTACTATGGAGGAAACTGCCTTCAATTATTTCACATTTACCAGGTATGGTATATGGACAACTATTGTGGAGTAGGTGTTAAAAACTAAACCCAGAACCCAAGTTTGTCTTTTAAGAATTTGCCTATTCAGCTTATCCTCATAGAAACTTAAATCTTAAAAATCAAGCACCAAAGCCTTTATGACTGATGTGCATTATCTTGTTTTACTGTTGATCTGTAAGATTATGGCGGAAACAGAGAGGTTTACTCATGGAAAGAAAATGACTGTTCCTGCTTGTCTGTATGATCCAGGGCCCAGTCTGCTGCATAAACTAAGGAAAATTCATTAAGAACACTTTGTATATACTAGCACTCTTCATTTATTTGTTTTCATTGGCTCAAATATAATAAATCCAACATAGCTCTGAAATAAGGAAATAGTTTCCCCTTAGCAGCTTTGTTTATAAAACTAGAGAAGGAAAAAGGGCATTTTCAATCAGGTATTTTATTTGTCATTTCAACCAGGGTGGGAAGGAGTTGTTGTTAGAGTGGAACACAACCTATTTTTGTGATGTCCCTCGTTAACAACAGTTGTTGACTGTATCAACATTGAAGCAAGCATAGATTTTAAAATGAAGAACCCTCTTAAGAATGTAAAGTGACTTTTTACTAAGATAAATATTTACCAGCAGTCCAAAATTTCAACTTCCATCTGTTTGTTATTGTTGTTTTACTTAAATGAATTATGTTAAATTGCAGCAGTTTTAAACAGGCACAACTCAATATTTAGAGGCACTGCTCTTCAGTACTGAGAAGAATTGACGGCATTGAGATTTTTGCTAGACTAAAAAAGTAAAGCACTTTTTCTTTGAGCTCTGGCTCTTGGCATCAAGGTAAATTTCAGCTCATGTGTGGTTTCCATGGCACTGCATACTATGCTATTCAGCATGCTTTACATATCAGATCCTTGATCTACACAGGTTAAGATGTCTTATAACATCTCATTGATCTAAATGCCTTTATTTTCAAGGCCCATTTGAGAAACATGAGATCATTTATGGAAAAAATAGAGTACAGTGAGTTAGCTGTAGACAGCTTGACAAGAGGCAGTCCTGTGCATGGACCAGATCTACACACCCAGAACTAGTAAATCAGGGAACAGGATCGTGACATTAACATGGTTCTGAAGCTAAATGCTTTCTATTGTGGAAGCTAATTGGTAGAGATGCAACAAAGCTAACGGGCTCAGATGGAACACATTTAATTTCTGCAGCTGATCCATGTATTGCTTACTTGAAGATATTTGTAGCATGTTTTGGCTGCTTGATGTACTAGTGCCTATAAAGGCGATGAGCATCCACAATCTCAAAATAAAGGTACTTGATGTGTTTGATAGTGGTCATCCCAAACCAAAATCTTCCAACATTGCCAATTATTTTTGGCAATAGTTATTCTCCTGAAGTGACTTCCTGCTGTAGAATGTTTAGTCTCATCTGTGAATCTCAGGTGGGATCCATCTAATCTAGTCAGAGGTGTCTACAGGGTAGATAATCTCTCCTTGTAAGCTCATGACCCAGGACTATTTTTACAGTCACTGGTGAGACATAGGCACTGTATGAGCATGAGTCACCTGACTTCTTTTAGGAGCCTACTGTACGATGAAATTAATTTCAGTTCTCACTTCCTTGACTGCTTCTGGCTGGATCTCCACGGATTAAACTGACTACGGAGGCTAGTATGACTAGGTCAAATTAATCCCACTGTGTGTGAATGATAAAGACAGGAAAGAAGAATGTGTTTACAGACCCATATAATTGACAAAATGTGTGAATAAGATGAATGGTTAGAGATTCCTCCTGGCTGCTGCACTGTTCTTACCTCTGTCTTCTACTGTGCAGGTTTTAGCTGTGAACTAGAGAAATATCTCTTTTTGAAAGAAATCATAGGAGTTAGCAGCAGGAATTTGCTAGTGTTTGGAGAATATATTTTGTATATCAAAGTTGATACCTGGAAGGTGTCCTGGATGTGAGGTCTTGCAAGCACAGATTTGTTGTACGACAGCACTAAGATTGTGTTACAATCCTAAATCCTGATTTAAAAATAAATAAATAAATAAATAAATAAATAGATCTGTACCTTGTGTGGGTGTTCTCCTTACTTTTTTTATCATTATCTTATCACTTGGCAAGGACTTCCAGATTAGTCTAAGAAGTATTCTGGGCATTTATAAAAATACTCCAATGCTCTGGAATTCAGCAAATATTTATTCATTGACAAAACAGTAGAAAAGAATGTGTAACAACAACAAATATATACTGTTTAGCTCCTCTCTGTAAAATACACAAAAAATATGAGGTCAAAAGTTGCGTTCTGCAAACATACCTTTTGATGAGATGTACTTGGTTGGTAAGTGCTGTGGATATAAGCCAAGGTCTCTAGACCTTGAATTCAGGATCATTATAGCATAGATAAATACATTTTCTGGCTAAGTGAAGGGAGTGGTCCACAGTCTCCACCTGCGCTGATCTGTGTGGCACAGTTCCCTGAGGACGCCCAGGTTTCCGCACGGTTATTTTCAAAGAGAAGTTAAAACTGCAGCTGAAGATCACAGAGTTACTGACCAGCCTTACTCAGCTCTGTGCATGACATGGGTCACATTGGTGATGTTTTGGTAGGTATGAAAACCTAAACCTTAAAGGTGGAACCACCATAAATGAGGATGGAATAAAATATTGTTATAAACCCAATAAATAAATAAATATATAAATATACATAAATATTTATATATAGCCACCTTAAAAATTGAACCCGGAAAATGCTACAAATCATTTTAGTTTAGAAAAACAGGAGATCAGGATTCAGAGATTTTTGTAATACTCAGGTTTTTTTCTTCTTTGAGATGCAGTTTTAGGTCTATACAATGTTTACTTTATCGAACATTAAATTCAAGAGAAAAATACATTAAAAACCAAACTCATACCAAATGCCAATCAGCTGAATACTGTTTTTAGCATTCTCAGTATGATTATTTATCTCACATGGAAAATAACAATCCAGCATGCTATTGCATTTTGGCTGAGTAAATGCAACGTAGCATTTCACTGCTACAATACATCTCCGTATTCATGTTTTTAAACAGTTATAATATGTTGTTGATATAATTTCAAATCTACTGTCAAATGGTGTTTACATTTAGTTAACAGAAGTAAAAGTCAAAAATATCACAGTAGTAAATTGGGACTATCAATCCTGGATAGTGTGACAAATGAATAATGCTTTGTACTGGCGTTGCATGGCGTGTGAAGAAAGTAGGTCTTTTACGAGCACTTCAATACAGAACAGTTTTATTACAACTGACATCCTACTCAGGGCTGAATTCCTATCACGCACAATATCCTTCCTGAGTCACTCTTGGTAAGGTCAGTTTTTGTAAGATACAACCCACTTCGTTTAAAGTTATGATTCCAGTTTGCAGATAGGACAAATATAAATTTGAGCACATGTTAGAGTCTGCTCTGCTTTTATCGGCATTCTTTTTCAGGAGTTTTCAATGTCAGTAGCAGGTGAATATGTAAACTTGGAGGTGAAAATTTGAAGTGAAGTTCCTTTTCTACTGTATGAGTTATAGCTATGGGTACCCAAATGTTTATTCATGTAAGAGAGAAAATAGGTGTTTGGCTGTATGCTATATGCTTTCAGAAATGTGTGTGCATGAATAGCAGAGGGCACAGAAAAATAAATTATATACACATTTAATTTTGGATACAATTTATTAGGTTTGATAGGGCAATTTTAAGGCATCTGCTTATTTCCAGCAAAACACAGAGTTAAAAGTACAAGGAAGCATCCTGAAGAGTGAGACCAAAGAGCCATCAGACCATGTTAGGAGCTGTTACTCTCCTCTGAACTAACGCATATTTAAATTCTTCTGATAACCTGTGCTCCCCAAATACCCATTGCCCCTGTGCTTCATCCTTTGAATTTTCTCAACCTCTAAAAGCCATGAAGGGGTCTCTGTAACTTAAAATATAGAGACAGCATACTTTTTTACTCCTTGTTTGTTTTGTCCAATTTACATATCCTATGTCTAATGTGTAACAGTGAATTAGGAACCCTCTTTCTTTTGTGGACTCTGACAGCAAAATGTCAGTATGGTTTGAGAACAGAAGAGAGATTTATCAGTTTTCAAGGATGGATGGAACAGGTGACGTTTGCTTAAAGGAAAAATTATGTTTCTTGCTTAAAAATATAATCAAATAAAAGAAAAGCCATGCAGAGAATATGTGTTATCTACAATCGTTCCAGAAAGAGTTTCCTACAGAACAACCATTACAAGTCATTGTAAGTCTCTTGGGAACAGCAGTCAAAAACATCAGCAGTTAATTACTCGAACTTCCTAAATCAACCTTCTTTGGCATGACATGAAGTGAATGAGAGCAATAAAAGCAAGGAAGTGCATTGTGCTTTGTCCTGTCCAACTCCTGATCGGACAGGCGTAGGTTACAAGCACAAATGTAACCAGGCATGAATTGTTGTTTTTTATTTTAATTCACGGCCTTGGGTTAAATTAAATGAGCATGCTGGAAAGGCCAAGGTAAAACACAGGGCCAGGTCTTCAGACTGCGTAAATCCTCTAACTTAGTTGAGTTTTATCATTTCCACACCTTCAGAGCATAGTTTCTGCTCTAATAAAGCATCGAGTTTAAACTATCCAGCAAAGTATCTAATTACTCCCCACAAGCTCCATCTCCAGCCATGGAAATGGAAAAATTATGCCCTAGAATGGCTGGTAACACAGAGACTGAACAAATTATTCTCGTTAGGGTCTTCAGAGTATTAGCTTTGGGGAAGGTGTGGTGGGGTTTTGCTAAATTTTATGTTACGCTGTGGGAGATGAATCTTTCATTTGCCTGTGCCTCTGATTGTCAGGGGCAGAAGAATGGTTGTGTAGTCTCTGTGGCTGCTGGAATGAGTCCACAGGGAAGAGATATGTACTCTCATGTTTGTTAGTAGATTTGGGAAAGGGAAAATATTTTGCATGGACCCTGCTAAAAAATGATTTCTTCTTTGCTGTGAAACCAATATGCAATATCTACCATAGCTACTTAAAGCAAAAGTTTTTCTCTTTTTCACTGTTCTCTCCATTCTTGCCCTGGTATCTCACAATGCTGTGGAAAAGATATTTCACCAGCTGGTTTGGTGTGCCTTCCAGGGAAAGGAGCTGTGAGTAGGAACATGAATGGGGCCATTGAAGGCTGTCCATCACATGTCTTTGACTTAGAGTGAATGAGAAGGAAACCCAGAGGAAAGAGTAGTGTTTTAATTGGGGGTACAAAGCCAAAGGGAAAAGCATACAATAATAAATTGACAGCAGTTTTATTTCAGGAAGAGTTTTATAGGATCTCAAAACCTTCACAGACACATATGAGTGGAAGCTGCTGATTGATATTGGCTGGCTGGAAGGAAGAGTATAATGAGACGTACTCGTTGCACTTGGGAACTTAATGAAGTCTGCGCAATGGGAAACAGAAGGGAATGATGTCCTCAGATGAGAAGGTGGGAAAATCAGGCTGGTGTCATGCTGAAAGAGCAATAAACTGGGCAGCAGGTAAGTGTTGTCATCATCTGTTAGTGTACACAATAAAAAGCTAATCACCATAACCACAAAAGCTCCTCAAGAAGTCAAGCAAAACCCAGGTGGAGGAAACCCAATTACGTAATTAGTGCCAAAGGAGCAACCTGACTCCTGGAGCTACCCAAGGAGAACGATCAGTATGTGGTTAGCCAAAGCCCCACCGAATTGTCTTTATATCATGGATAATTTTACTTGATGATCAAAACCCAAAGTGAACACTGCCCATGTTCTTGTTGTATATGCATGTCTGCTGTCTTCTGTTCTTCAATTTCAGAAATAGTTTCGGCTTAGACATGCTCACTTTCTGTTTACCAGCTTATGACCTTTATTTTCATCTGTGGTTTGTGCTTTCCAGTTTATTTCTATGGATTTTGAAAATACTTTTTTTTTGAAGGAAAAAGCCATCCTGATTATGATTTCCTAGGAAGGTTCTTATACTCATGACCAGTTGTTTGGCTATGTACGTCTGCAAATCATATTTTTAAGTGTGAAAAGAGAAACCAACTGGTGAAACAAAGCAACATGTTTAGGTAGGGAAAGGGATAGTCCTCCAGAAGATTTGAACACTTTGCATGCCAAAAAAAAAAAAAAAGGCTATTATGTTTCTTGTAATCACTGCTAGCTTGCTGCACCAGGTTTGCTGTGTAGTTTAGACTCTCCTCGATACTCATTTGACATGCCCAAAGAACACAACTCATTACATTATGTTTTAAAACAAGTGTCTCTTCAGGCTAAGTACAAATACATTTATTTTACTGCAGCATTAGTCCATTTTCCTTCGCATAAAAAATGGAGCAAAATGAGGGAAAGAGCTTTGCTTTTTCATGCCCTCAGGAAAGACGTGATTATCTTGAGGTGTAAGTGTAGGCAGGTGTGTGAAATGATGGTCTGATCTGGAGCACCCTTTATGCTGAATAATATAATTTCACTAAATGATATTGTCCTCCTGAGGTGGAAACCATCACTTTTCAATTTAAGCGTGAAATGTTACATCTAAACATGTCATTCAGTCTATAAACTACATTTCATTTATGGATAGATGAACAGATTCTTCCTCCTGACCTGGCTTTAAGAGCTACTTTAGGAAAACACAGATCCACAGATCCATTTCTAAAAGTGTCCTTCTCTCCAGTGATCATTAATTGTGCTGAACATGACTACCTCAGACACAGGAGTCTAACATCTTAATATCCAGATGATGACGAGTAGATCTCAACCCTGAAATTAGACATTAGACCCTCTAGGCAGAAGATTCAGCAATATGTGTATATATACATATATGTATATATATATATATATAAAACTACAAAAACAAAGTTTATTTTCTGGCTTCCAAGAGAGTTTAACTACTTTTTCCAGCATCATGATCAGTGTCATTTACGCAAGAGAAGCCCTTTAGGATCTCAGGCCTCAACGGCTGTTTTCCAGATGAGATTTTTGAGCGATTCCAGTGCAGTGTGTAGGAAACGGCCTCTGGTGACTTTCTTCTGCTTTCAGTGACAGTGCCAGAATGTGCCAAATTGATTGCTACTATAACAAATAAACTAAGCCTTGCTGTAGTTGCCCTGTTCTAAATTAGGAGTGAGAGCCATGAATGCTCCTAACATTCTCCAAAGCAAAAGTATGAAATGGCTGGTTTACCCCCAAAATAACAGCCTGTGGCATCCCCACTTCAGGTTGTGTATGTATTCTGAATGCATCTGTGCTGTACATGACACCAAAATTTGTTATTAATTTATTAATATTTGGTGAAAAGTCACAGTTTATTGAGCTTAGGGAAGAAGGCAAGAGAAAAGGAGTCTGAAATTAAATGAAGACATACATAGACATAAGTTTGAATATGAAAACATAAGTAGATAAAAACAAGCAGTTGTGCTAAGAGTCATAGCACACAAAATCAATCATTTTGTTCATCGAGCCCTCTATACCCAAGGGGCTCAGGGAGGATAAACTCTTCTAACAATCCCTGATCACTGTAAGTTACAAAAAGAACAGCTTTGACTGAACTTCATTTGCTTAAAACACTGGAGCATCTCCTGATAGTGAGAAAATGAGTAGATCTCAGAATTTTTTACACAGTTCCACAGTACTGATTCAGAACCCCTTTTGAAACAAACAAATGAAGTATACTTTGATTGGGTTTGGTCAGTAACTTTCAGTAAATGTTATAGCATAAGCAGAGTTGCATCCATGTAGAATATTTAGTTAAATACTGCTATGTGTAAAAAATAAATGAGAAAAACTGAAAGTGAATAATTAAATCTTCCTGCCTGCACCTCAATATTTGAAACTAAAAGAAAAATATGATGCAATATATATTTAATTATAGATATTTAAATAAAACAGCAAATCATATGATTAGAATAAAGTTAAGGGAAATTCAAAGACTAAAGAAGATGACTTGAAATCAAGGACATACAGGGTACCACCATCCAATTGTTGTGTATGTTTATTTCTGCCCTGATACTCCTAAGGATAGTTAGGAAAATCTTTATTGAATAAGTTATATTTTTCCATCCCTGTTTCTTAACAGAATGGAGAACAGAACTAGCATCTTCATACTTTAGCACTAAGGATTTCTTTGCAAAATCAAAAGAAATTACTATGTGAATTTGAGTGGATATTGCAAAATTAGAAACTGAACATTTGTATGAGAAAATTTGTATGAGAGAACTACAGACCTGCTTTTAAATATAATAATCAATATCATTTTATCTTAAACACCTCCAGTCAATATTGACATAAGCCTTGTACAGTAATTAATAGAAAAACCTTATAGTCACATGTATTTCTAATGACCCACTTAATAAAGATGATTTACCCATATGTTTTCTTGAGGGAAAAAAAAATAATGTGAAAATGAATGAAGGAAAATAACTCAATTTTTAAAGTTCGGTATCCCATCAAAAGGGTGAACTTATATTCCCTTTGCCATCAATATGATTTGGTTTCAAAAATGAATAATTCAATGAACTCAAGAAAAAAAAAAAAGAAAAAGAAAAAGAAAAAGAAAAAAAAAGTTTTGCCATATATGGCAAATTCAGTAGCTCCCAAAGCACAGAATAAATCAAATATAGATAAAATATAAATAAAATATTGTGTAAGGTAACTCAAGTCAAAAGTCTCTGTGTGGTTACTTAATCCGTTGGGCTAGCCTGGTTCAGCTCCATTTGCTTTCATAGTCATGGTGCAGTGTCAGTGCTAAAATGAAGATCATGATCAATGACATCCATTTCCCCACTCAAATGATTGTATGGACAGATGGAGTAGCTGGATAAGCAGTTACAGGTTTCTAGACAAAACAGAGCTTTGATTTAAACACAAAAATTCTATTCATTTGATGTCAAAAACTATGTCCAATTGATTAAAGAATAAGCTACACCAAGACAATCATTGTGTCAGTTAATTAGAGTGAAAACTTTTGCAACTGAGAATAAATTGTTACATCCAGGCAGTTTTTACCAAAGAAGGAAAGATGCAAAGTCATCAGCCAGGTGTATTTTGTGAAAATAATGAGTCAAGACATGGAGCCTGAGCATAAATAAAAGACTCTTCACCAAATGTTCATAGGGAAAAAAAAAAAAAAAAAAAAAAAAAAGGAAAACATTAAGAAAACTTGGAACTGAAACAACCAAATCACTGATTCAACAGAAAATGGGGATGTGAAAAAAGCAGCGCTCCTACTAAGACAAATGTGGTGAAAAATTAGTTTGAGCCAGAGCAAATGGGGCCTTTCCCTGCACAAGGAGGCCGAAGAGAATCATTACTGTGTGAACGCTCACTTAAAATTCCCTGAGAAGCAATTTATAGAGTGCATTGCCTACTATCCTTCTCTCCTTTTAGGGAAACTGTGTGGAGTGGATAATCCTGGAGCCTTCGCATGCCAAGGAGCAAATAGAATCATTAGTTTGTATCTGCTGTAGTTAATCACTCTCTTGGCTTATTCTGTAAGAATAAGAACTGAGAAGAAAACAGAAATGTGTCACACAGTTTGCTTTAACACTAGAATCCCCAAGACATCCTGTCTCCCACTTTCCTAATATTATTTCTGGAAAATAGTAAACCTGACAGAGTTCAGGAAGTGTTTGGACAGTGCTCTCAGACATAGGGTCTGCTTTTTCGGTGGTCCGGGACACAGGAGTTGGACGTGATGATCCTGGTGGGTTCTTCCACAGTCGGGATATTCTGTGATTCTAGGTTAAATTGTAGATATTCTGTTGTAAACTGTAAGGGGAAACATCTTTCTGGTGCATGATAAATGCCAGAGAAGAGCTCTTGCCATAATTAAATCATCAGAAGGGGAAAAAAAAAAAATTAAAAATCTGGGCTCAAACATATACATCAAAGTGACCTAATTTTCAAAAATTATATAATTATAAATAAATATATAAATAAATAAATATATAAATAAATGAATTTGGAAACTGAGAGAACAGCAAGCCCAGAAGATGCTTTGTAATTATTTCTTCTCTGTATCTTTCTGCTGATATTGTAGAATAAGTAGTACTCAGCAACCACAGTCTAAACTGTACATTTTAGTATCTGGCACAAATCATTCTTATCCCTTATGGGCTCCAAAACAAATTGGAAATGAAATAAAAATAATTGGACATTCAGGTCCCAGGCTGAAGTTTAGGTCCCAGACTGAAATTTAGCTTTATTAAAATTGTTTTCATCTGTTGAGAACTCACATGAAGCTTGCTTGGTTTTCTTTTTTATTATTTTTATATTTATTATTATTATTATTTTAATTTAACTTCCAAAAATCCTGGCTGTACACCAAAGTGATGGAATTTTGAGTTATGACCCTTAAGAATGAAGATGTAATTTGCTTTGGGGATATTACATATTTAAAAAAGGCTGAGTTAGATATGGTTTCAATTAATTTACAAACTAATAAAAACAAAGAGTAATATATGTATATATTAATGTAGACATTGAGGTTTTTTTGTTTGTTTGTTTGTTTGTTTTAATATATTGGCATAGATCAACACTGCTTAAACATAAGAAGGCTTGGTAGATTATTTCTCATTTGCTTAACAAACTTGGACACAGTTATTGAAATTTACAACTCTATTTCTTTCACAGAGATGTCAGATTCTACTGAAAATATTAATCTTTCAGTGACAGAAGAATGTCTTACAGCAACACCTGAAGTTAAACAGAGCTATGTATGCAAGGAACATCTCTCTTCTTAACAGGTAAGTCTTGTTAAGAACCTAGAGTTTCAGCTCAGATAATTCCTTAGAAGTTTTTGTTTGGATTTGAAAATTAAATGTTCTGGAAATCAGCCTGGAACTAGCATGGTTTAAGAACAAAACAAACTAAAACAAAACAAAACTTTCTGGAAGTTACTTCTAAGGTGATGGACATGTTCTGTGAATTCAAAATAGAACAAAGCTTGCTTAATTGTGTTGACTGGGTCTGAAATACCACGAATCCTACGCCTTCCGCATAATTCTGGCAGATTGATGTTCTGTCCTAGCCAAATCTCTGTTGTATCAAAGAAAGAAAACATGTAAGAAGACGTTATTTCAAGTTTGTCAATTTTTCCTTCACCAGAAAATGTACAGATGAAAATTTAAGTGGGTTTTCATTTGTTCAAAAGCAATTTATTTTCAAAAAGAGCAGAAAGGAAGGTATATTTTTCTCTATCTGAATCTATAACATGTGAACAAGGCTTTAATGAAGTTTCAGTTTTGGCTTAAAGTGATTCAAAATCTACGCTCTACAATATTTGAGTTCCAGAAATAGGAAGAGAATGAAAGTGAGAAATGTTTTGGCAGACAACCCAAAGGTTGCACCTGGAAGTGCAGAAGGCTTTGTGTTATGAGTTCTGACAAAGCAGTTTATGAAGTTTGCTGCTATCAGAACCACATTACCTGCAAGAATCTGCTGTAAAAGGACTGCATTAAGAACTTTCAGAATTTCATCTGGGCTTGGGGTAGAGAGCTCCTTTAGGAATATTAGAAATATAATTTAAGACAACAAAATAGCAAAAGCAGAACAAATTGTAAGTCTGTTTGTTCTTTTGCTGATTTTCCAGAGCTGAAAAGCCAACAGAGAATTACTGGGAGTGCACAAGATTGTCTGCTGGAGGAAAGGTTGACTATATTTGAGATCTGAGATATAGACTAACAGAGAGCTATCAAGTGGTGTTACAGGCAAGTCTTCAGACAGACTCTCTGACAAAACTTTTTCCCAACTGTTCAGCAACTATGTGGTTTTCTGCCAAGGCGCATGAAATACTTCATTATGAATAAATGCCTTTATCTATTGGCAAAGCTATTGAGAATGTAGGTGCGGTTGTGGCACTGTGTGCCACAAGCCAGAAAGGTCTAAGCCCCCGTGAGAGGTGAGGGTGAGGTTGTGTGGATCTCCCTTCTTACATGTATTTCTTGCTGAGCCCTCCATTTAGAAACCTACTACCTCAGCTTTTCCTGGCCCTTCTCCCTTTGGAAGTCACCACCAGCTATGTCTCTCCTGTTTTCCTAACTTATCTCCTGTTTCCTCCTTTTCTGGTTACACGCCTCATACTACATAACAGCATTTTATCAAAACACATTTCTAATTAATCTGTTCTGGATCTGATCCCACCTTAGAGAAAAAGTCCAACTGATTTAAGTGGGAGGAAGATCAATCTTTGTTGTGTTCTTTTCAGTTAAGAATGTACCAAGGTCTTGTGAGGCTTAATCAAAGAAAGTGATTTGTCTTTGACAATCTCTCCGTCTCTTGTGAGCTTTTATGAGGCTGTTCAGCTCATTAAGAGCACCTTAAAAAATATTGTTCTTGGAGACTAAAAAAGGCAAAAACATGATTAGCTGCAGATGAGCAATTTCTTCTAAAAAATTAGGAAATTAGAATCAAGATTTGGAAATCTTTTTTTGCCATGTTACACCAGTAGTTCCTTCTCACTACCCTTGGGAAGGATTATGTGAGTGCTGTTGCTTTCAGTCACATGTTTCAGAGATGACAACTGAATACACCATAATCAATCCAAGCAATACAGACCTCCGTTGCTCTGTCAAGAGAGTCATGTTCTTTAATGACATTTTCCTCTCAAGCACTGGTGTAAGATATTGTGCTGATTTTCCAAAGCTAGAAAACCAGCAGAGAATGGTTGGGTGTGCACAAGACTGTCTGCTGCAAGAATGGTTGTGTAGAGACTGTGTGCTGCCTCTGGGTCTGTATTGTCCTTCAGGGAGATGTTCATGACTAGTGATTTGAATGAATAGAAGCAAAATCAAAAAGTGAATTGGAAAAATCTGTTTTCATTTCTTTTTATGATAATGTCTATGGTCCCTTTTAAACCTTGTTGTACTTTGTCTTGGGCACTTGTACACGTAAATTGGGTATATCTACTAAATTAAAGAAGACCATGGCTGGACCTACGACATTCCATAGTGATGCAGTGTTACCATGCTCCTTGGAACAGCTTTGCCCCGTATCATTTTGCTCTTTTCCAGACAACTATCAGAAATGATTCAAATAATATAACAGATCAGAGACTGTTCCCCATAGGCAATGTGGGTGAGGTCTTGCTTTTTTAACATGGAAGAAAGATTTTAACCTTATGGACATGAGATGAATCACATCACTTGCCTTCAGGGCCAAGGAACAGTTTCTGGCCTGTTTGCTATACTTGTGTTGTTCTATCCTTGTGTAATAAGAGAAGGGACTTGCCTTTTAATACTTGTAATCTCTGCAGAAAAAAAAAAATCAAAAGGGAAAAATAAAAGAAATATTATTTTCCAGATGGTACAGAGAGATTAAAGACATGTTTACTTAGTGCAATGGAGCATTATACAGATATCCCCAAGTTAGTGCTGACCTGTTTTGGTTCGTGTTCACCACAAAAAGGGATAGAATGTCTTTGTTGGCCTGTCAGACTTGAGAAATTGGCTCAAACCCTATACAACCCAAAGCCTACTGAGAAAACTGTCAATAAGAGTAGCAAAATGACAGTGGACAAGAAACATAAAATGAGCGGGATTTAAATATCTAAATATTTAGTGTGGCTATATTAGGTTTAGTTTCATCAAAAACCTTTACTAGTACTGAGTAGTCATTCACGCCATTTCCTGATGGCATTTCTCTGCTTCAGAGCTACAGGTTTTGACAGAAGGATCACCAGGCTGTATGAGTCCCATAAATCTCCATAAATATTCATAAATCATGTTCAGTTTTATCTGTTTAATTATGAATTTCTTCACCCTTTTAGGGATTTGAAAGTTTGTGTCTTGGTTGCAATGGAATATGAAGTCTTTGAGATGGTATAGGACATCTCCTTTTAGTCTTTCTGAAGATTAAATATTTATGCTCATTATGTTCCAGCCCTACTATAGAAGGATATCTACAACCGAGTTATGTTGAGGTATCTGAATTTAGCTTCCCTTTCAAATGAGTGGATCGGTTGGCTTTCAGCTTTCCATGGGACACATTGAAAGTCTGCTTTTGTCTTCATATGCTCAAGAGGCAAATCTCATCATCTACAGGACCAGTCTTCAGGGCTCACACATTTTAGGATATACCAATTAGTTAGAAACTTGGACCATGAACTGGAAAGTAACAGGAACACCTGTGAAAAAATTTCACCCAGTGAAATTTTCCAGCCTTGTATTTTTAGGGTATGAGAGACATCTTAAGGCCTGGGTACAACTTTTCATTCTATAATGATAATTTCAGCAAACTACTGGACCACTTTTTTTTTATGACCTGGTCCTGTGGTATTATGTAATATGAAGTTTTTCGTTGGTTTTGCCCCTTTGCCATGACCACTGGTAGTTTTTCCTAAAAAAATTGTGACTAAAGACTTGCTCTATATCTCGATTGTCCAGCCAGTGGAATATTGTAACTAAATTTATCAGCCTTTTAAGTTGTTTTTAAATTGCCTTTAGCTTGTGATGTTTCCTTATCTTGGACAAGAGAAAGGAAAAAGGAAGGAGTCTATTTCTGCCATCTCTTTCCTCCTGCAAGAAAACCCCCTCCCCCTTCCCCTCTCTTTGCCTTCCAAAGCTTTTGTTAATTTAAAATTAGCCCTTTGAGTTGCTCTTGGGAAAGTCAGGATCCACGCAGCAACTAAGTCCCAGTGGAGAAGGCTGTTGCAGTAAACATGGGGCAGAACCTCGGTGAGTCACCTGGCGGGCGTTCCCCCACTGCGTGAGGGAGAGCAGCGTAGGAAGCCCATAAAGAAACATGCCACCACCACCGGGGAATCCATGCAGGATACTTCAACGAAATCATTTCCCATCCAATCTGGGCCTCCTACCAGCTATTCACTGCAAGCGTCAGTCCAGATAAGTAATTAGAGGGCACTAGATGCCTGGCTCTGATCTCATTGCCATTGTTTGACCATAGGAAGGATTCAAAACAAGGCTTGGGGTCAAAAATAAGTCCTAAAATGCTTTTTTTAATATTCAGATTTTCTTGCCCCCCCCGCCACCTTTAGGGAAAAAAAAATAAAATCTCTTACAGCTAATTTTTAGTGACACCCACTGGCAAAGGCTCGGTTGTAATACATCCATGGAAGCTCAGGTTTGCTTGTAGATGCAGGCTTGCCATGCATCCAAGCAGTCTGATCTATCTATACTCACGTGCTGCCCAGGCCAGCTAACCAGCAATACTTGGGAGCGCTGTTGCTTCCAAAAATACCTATCCCAGCCTGTCCCAGGAAAGACATTTCAGGAGGGATGTGACAGACAAGCCATTCTTTGATGAGGAAAAGAAAGCATATAGGATGTTCAAGCCACCTACAGATTTTTTATTATTATTTTTTATAACATATTTATAATTTACAATATATTTATATTTATATATTTATATTTATATTTATATTTATATTTATATTTATATTTATATTTATATTTATATTTATATTTATATTTATATTTATATTTATAATATATTATTATTTTTTATTTTATTGTGTGAAACAGAAAGTAAAAAAATACAGTCAAGAACCTTTCTTGGCATATTTATTATCCTTTTTTTTTTTGCTGTACAGTGGAACACGTGGATGGACCGCATGTTTTGCACGAGGTGGAGGATTACAAATTATGGCAGCCTCTTTCATGGGATTTTTGCTGGGTTTAAATAACCTTCTGACATTTTTTCCTTTGGGACAGAGGGAAAGGGCTATGCCCCCATGAACAGGGAGGACAGACATGTTTATCGGTAGTGATATGTGGGCAGCTTGGAAGGTAAACTTTTCTCCCATTCTATTTTTTCCCTATTTTCCACTGTACGTAAAGCAAGCATGGGATTTTAGGAATCCCAAACCTCACCTTTCTAATGCTGCAGTCATGTAGATCTTTAATGCTGGCTGGGAAATTTTGATTGTTTAAACCCTCTCCTAAACAGCTTCCTTACATTCACAAATCCCTGTTTGCAACAAATAAGTTGAAACTGAGCTCTAAAGCCATGTTGTGAAATGTGAATGTGACACATCTAATGTCACAGCAAATATATACATGAGGAGCCTCGAGGCTTCAATTAAGCCAGCACTCAAGCTGAAGAAGCTGTAGTAGCACAAATATCAGCACACGGTAATTATTTTGCTGAGAGATTTTTTTTTCTCTGTACATTAGACACCAACACTACAATGCTGGCATTTGCCACTTACAGAAAGCAAGAAATAGGAATGAGACATTTTTAAAGGCTGTAATATATGTGTGGACTGTTTGTGAGTGAGTGCTTATTACTGTGACACCTGAAATTTACAGCTCATGAAGGAAATATATATGTTTTCTGTCCCCCCACAACAACAGATATGTTTTCTGTCCCCCCACAACAATTATTGGGAAGTAAAAAAATATACAAAAGCAGTGACAGGTTTGCTGTTTCATCCAGAAGAGGGCAATGGCACAGAATGTGGGTATTTCAAATTATTTTTTCATCTTACTTTTTCATAGGCATCATTTTCATTTACATTTTTAAAGCATTCATAATTTCATTTGCAAAAAATAAAAAAAAATACATTAAAAAATCTTCAAAAGCAAGCAAACAAAAACACAGATGGCATCTGTCAAAATTGTACTGGTGCATATTTTTTCAAATGAATCTATTTTACCAAAGTGAATAAATAACAGAAGTGAAGCATATACATACACAGCCAGGATAGTACTTTCTGCTATTTTTTAAAAATCCCTTCCTTTCTATAGATTTTTTGTTTTAAATAGCTTTAACAATTCATAATATCAATCAAATATGAGGAAGTGATATGTATTAATAAATAAATATATAAGTGCCTGAAACTAAAGAATAATGAAAAAGAAAAGAAAGTGAATCATGGCTACAAAATAACTAAACATGTGAATAAACTCAGAAACCAAAAGGATTCTGATGCTTAGACCTTGCAGCAATGACGATATCTTAATGTTTCACTCCTGCTTGGTTTGAGAAACCTTTGTGATCTTCTATACTTACCTGAAACGAAAGATTCGGATTTGGGCAGAATAAAGAAATGCAGAACTCATCTGAGTATGGTTAAATTATGCCATATTTTCATTGTGATGGATAACAGAACTTAGATTTAATGTGAAACAAAAAAGTTAACTGTCTTAAAATCATTCTCCTTCCCAAAACTCTCATCAAGTTTTTCTGTAACTGGCAAAATTTAAGACTATTTAAGAATTTTAAAGGGAAGTTTTCTCACCTTTCTAAAGGTACAGTTTCCTCTGCGTTGAAAGCTAGTATCACAATTTTTTGCTGCCCAGAACTGTGATGCCCAGTACAAAGCAACAGGGAATTCCCTTCATTTTATATTTGGGTGAAAACATTGAAAACAAAAAAAAAAAACAAAAGCCAACCTCCTCCAGTGAGCTTTCACTTTTTCCTTTCAGGATGCCAAGCCCCAAGACAGACCAGCAGATAATATTCTTTCTTAAAGGGCCTTAGAAGCTGTATTTTGGTGTCTCTAAGTGTAATGTTCCTGTGTTTGGTAATTTGATGTGATGATTGTTGTGCTTTTGAGGTTTAGGACAAGGACCAAGCAGGTTGCTATTGTCACCTCTAAAGGAAAGATGAAGTTAGGAGTCATGATTGGATTCCCAATGGCATTATCAAACTTTGGCAAAAGTCAATGGACATTTTTAAGGTTCCTATTAATAGCAGGCCCTAGCACAATGACTTCTCGTTGTTCTCAGTGTAAAAGCTTTTCTCAGGTCACTCTCTTGCTTTTGGGAAGGAGAGTGGTCATGCTTGGGCCTTGACAACCAGGTAGGTAGGCCTATTGAACTGTCTGACACCTTTTTGCTCAGTCTGTATTTCTTGGAAGTCTTTCCAGGCTACACGAGCACTGGATGTGTGATAGTTCAATGAACTGTAAGCCACCCACTTAGGTTACCTTCATTGTTCTCTGAAACGTATTCAGAACATGTCTCTAACAATTTAATTTCAGTGTTTTTATAAGGAAAATATAGTTTAACCACCCTCTAGAGGATAACACCTTATTCAGCAACATCCAGCACAAACTTGGTTCTGAAGTTAAGTAAACACAGGTGCGTGCAGGAAGCTGTTTGCAATGATACATGAACTTGAGATCCTACCAAAAACAATTAGGCAAGAAGTCTACATTTTAGAGGGACCCTACATATACCATCCCCATGCATATGTCTAATGTTATGTATAACATGCTGTGAGTATACTGTTAGTTAAAGTGAACAAGCAGGTGGCACCCCCATTTCCTGTCTGTTGGGGTTCCTACAGACACTTTGCCATGCATGAAAGAGGGGAGGAGGTGGGAGGGTGGGGGAGACAGGGGGCGTGATACACCAGGACATTCAAGCATCTCAAGAGCTGTTAGGAAAAAATCATATGGGACATGAAATCAAACCCTTTAACTAAAAACAATACTTATTTCTTTCTCTTTTAGACAATTATTACAGATATTCAACCAAACAGAAGAAAGAAACTTCTGCAATGGTTTATGGAATGAAATCACATATTCATTCCATTAGTGAAATATGTTTGCTTTTTTTTTTTTTTTTTTACTCCCCAGGGAGCATTTTCAAATGCTTTAAATTGTTTACCTTGACTTTAGTCTAGATTAATTATTTTCCTTGGCTACAACTAGGCATGCCCAGAAACTGTGGGATGAATATGATTTAAAAGTGTGTATGGCAGATAAGTAGGTTAACATTACAGACAACTCAAATCTTGTGGCAGATCCCTCCAGATTGTGCTACTGACTTGAAAAATACTAAACAAAAAGGGAATCTTTTGTTCTGTTGATGCTTTTAAACTTTTCTTTGCAAACACTTTTCTGAAGAAAAAAAAGGTATAAACATATTGTCACATGAATTTGAGAACAGAAGAGGTAGCAAATTCAATAGCTGCAAGGATATGTGTATTTTAAAGCTTAAAATGAAACAAAACAAAACCAAGCAGTACTTTTATCATGGCTTTAATATTTGGCTAACACAGGCCAGCATATTTAAGCCAGTAATTCCAGTGGTGAGTTTAATAACATCTGGTTAAGATAACCCAAAGATTTCTTAAATGTTTTTTATAAAAGTTGTCTTCATCTCAACCTTTCTGTCTTATCATATGCTATAATACGAAAAATTCCTATTTAATCAGTAGAATAAGGGAAGGAATTTTCAGGGATATCTCAGAGATGGAAACCCCTAAATTTCAGCAAACACTTGGAGAGATTGATCTCAGACTTGAGCAACGTGAAGAGCTTTAATGTATGTTTATCAAAGGTGTCTCCACAATCTTTCAGATGAAGAGCTGGATAACAAGGAAGATCTCTTGAGCCTTTTGAACTTACCCGGGGTACTCATTTCTCATCCCTTGGAAAACGTAATGCGTGGTGAGAATATCAGCCTGGCTTGCAGAGCAGGAACTGTTCGTTCCGAGCTGTTCAACACACTACTCCCTCTGTTTGCTTCATGTTATCAGCACACTGGCTTTGGTTTTAATACACTCCAAATTAATCACTTTGCAGGCAAACAGGCTGGCTGTAGAGGTTTGCAGTGTTTTCTTCAGAGGGTGGGTTTACTTTGGAGGCCAAGTAAAGAGTTGCCAAGCAGCTGCCAGAACTGATGGATAGAAGGCAATGGGAGGAATGTCCAGAAATATTTCATTGTTCTTTAGTTGTTAAACAAATGGATACAGGATGAACTCCAGGTTGCGTTGGGTGTGGTCATTGGCCAAAAGGGGTGAGTTTGCAAATGTATGTACTTTTATAAAAGTAATTGGGTTCTTATTTCCTGTGTTTCTGCCTTACTGATTGTTGGATAATCCCAAGAATATAATTACTCTACTTATTCTGAAATAAATGATTCCAATTCAAAAATTAGATTGAGAAAGGACTTGTATGAAATTTAGATCTAGTATGTATGAATTACTTCACTCTATGAGTGATTGCTGAAAGTGCTGGTGAAAATACTAATAAAGAAAAGACTACTGTGATCTCAAAACAGTAATTACATATGTAGTGATGACTTTTATATTTCAAGAGTAAACAAGCCAACAAAGGAGGATATAAGATGCACTTCTTATAGATCAGCCTATGGGATGAATAGGTTTCATACCAGACTGGTTTCTGGAACAAATGCCCTTTCCAGTAGGATGACTGAATTGGAAAAGAATTGGAAAGAAAAGTTGTAAACCTGTATTTTTCACATACCTAAACAGCATATGGAATAGAAGTAGTTTTTCCCTACATTTTGCCTTGGGATTTAGTAATTTCATGACTATTCATTACAGAAGGAAGAAAAATAATGATGGCAAAGG